AGTCACGTAACTGACCAACAGTCGGGACCGAAACTGGTCAGTTAGGTGGAGGTATATTCCAGGAATTGGCATCGAAAGAAAGAGTGGGGATGAGCGTCAACTGTTTCACTGATACCACCAATATCGGTATCATATACATATTTTGTGTTAAGGCCCCCATAGAGAACCATGTGTACACCACTGAGAAGCAAGGAATCACTGTTATAATCAAGGAATAGATTTCTAGCATTAGCTGGAAAACAACGTTGACATCGCACGGAAAACTGAAGAATCGATGTGTGGAGACAAGCTGACTCTGATGCAGGTTTCATGAAACCTAGGAGTCGATGCATGCATCGCAGCATGTTTCAACGTCTATGGGGGCCTTTACAGTGTGTGAGTAAGAGGACCTCAAGATGAGAAGCTCAAAGATTAGTAAGGCCTTGCAGAAAGTTCTATCTCGAAAGACTCGAATCTATTTGCGAGGTGCTCGATCCTGTCTCTAGCTGTGGACGCGTCTGTTCGTCTGAGTTACGCTAACTTGTCAGGTGGACATCCCTAGATCTCAGTTTCTTCTCGCTCTTGTTGTTAGAAACCTCTCTTCAAACCCTTCAAATCTTCGCCAACTCGGGGAGATTTCCCTTTCGAGAGAGAGAGCTATAATAGATTGCATCGCGATAGATACCTTATTATCCAAGCGGATGCGCGCGTTCGTGCAGCGCTTTAGATCGGTCGCGTAGATCCGCCGCGATGGACGCTGCGTATCTTTCCCTCGCGAGTGGCTAAGCGATCGTTTTAATTGAACCTCGCGTCGTGGCTGGTGATCGCGAGCGTATCGTTCGACATTGACGCGAAGCCAAAGATACACGCGCCGCGCCGACAATCGCGCCCAACCGGTTAATTAAATCTTGATGCAACAGCGCCACATCGTAATTTCGACGCGATGCCGTGCTGCGAGTTTCGTTCGGTGTTTTGTTCTTCTTGAGTTATTTTTTTTTTTTTTAATATTTCTGGAATATTTTAATTGACAGGCTGTGTTTTCTTGAAAACGTTTCACGATCGATCTACTTGTTACTATCAATGTAACGCTCGTATAATACGTCAGCTCAGTTCACAACGGCCAATTGATCTAATGAAAGAATAATAACTCTTCGTGCGGACGTAGTGACGTTCGCTCTTGAGAGATTCAAACTGACTGAATATTCTTTTCATATTTGAAAACTTTGTACTATCCGTTACGATGAATACGCGAGCGTCACTGTCACTGTACACCAATTGGAAGAAAA